AGTTTATAAGAGGATGGGGACAGCCCATGCTGCAGCCTGAACCTGTCTTAGGACAGGGGACGCTTGGTTTCCAACACTATACAGACAGGACTTCAGCTAAAGCATGAGAAAGAAGCGGTTGAAGGGAACCTCTTGGCCATGCAGAAACTTTCTAGTAAGTTCTACTGCGTACTCTTAACTCACTGTAAAAATAAGTTTCAGATTTGATTACTGAAAGAAGGATAGAAATACATTTAGGTGACCAAAGTCAGGTAAAGAGATTAATGTGGCATCAGCAGCAGTGGGGAGATGTTTCTTGCCAATAACATAAATCCATTTAAGTTGTCCCTCTCCCCCAATTTTTCAAAGGAAAAGTTTCCTTTTCGAAGAAAAAGAGGTAACACACTTAAAGAAAAAAAAATTGTCTTGTAAAGATCCAGGGAAGTCATATTTGAGAAACACCAGCTTTGTTAATGCCCAATAGGAAAGAAAATATGAAAACTTTGCGAGGGTCCCAAAGTTTGCATTGTTTACAGAAGAAAGCAATCCTTATGCCCAGGGCTGCTTGACATAATTGCAGCATCAGCTCTGTGAATAAATCAATAGTATTGCTGCTCCCTAAGAAGTCTGAACATTCTGAAAATGCCCATCGTTTCATAGTTTGGGGAACCACAAACTGACCCTATTCCCTTTGGTAGAACTTACGGCACAATACACATAATTCAGGGAAATATTTGTAGAAGGGATCCCAGGTGAAGACCAAATATAGAAATGACAATTTGCTAACATCCTCTCTTTCTGTCTCACAGGTGTGCTGGAATGGCCATTTTGGACAAAACTGGTTGTGGTGGCCATTGGCTTCACGGGAGGTCTCGTCTTCATGTATGTACAGTGTAAAGTCTATGTTCAACTGTGGCGTAGGCTGAAGGCCTACAACCGTGTGATCTTTGTGCAGAATTGCCCAGACACTGCCAACAAACTGGAGAAGAACTTCTCATGTACCGTGAACACAGAAATCAAGGATGCTGTGGTTGTGCCTGTGCCACAGACAGGTTCAAATTCACTGCCACCTGCAGAGGGCGCCCCGCCTGAAGTTATACCGGTCTGATGGAACCAGAGGGAACTTCGTCCCAGAAGGATCTTTGCAGCCCCAGCCACTACAAACAGAAATGCTTCTGCTCTGGTGGCTTCCTTGTCTTCTCCGTTCCCCTACTGACTTGTTTGTCCTGACTTGGAGCAAAAAGGAAATGAGGAGAAACTATCAAGTGATCAGGATCCCAAGAAGCAGAGCCCGCAGTGGGACATGGAAAGGGGAAGTGTCTTAGGGAGTGAGTTCATGAGGAACTGTTGGTACAAGCAAACGCTTCCAGTGATGAAAGACTGGACGGACATGCGATCCTCTTTCAAGTAGTGAGGAGGGAATCCCAGGACAGTCTTCACATGCAGCGTATACTTCTTTGGAGGGTTCTGTAATGTTAGCCTGCTCCACTGGAAATGACACACATCTGGTCATAAGGCTGAAAGTGTGTGCACCATCCCTAAGTCACACCAGCGGCCAACTTGGAGGACTTGAGGTTTTTTTACACTTTGACAGATGATTTTTCTGGCTATTGTGAAGTCTGGTTATTTTGACAGATGCATGTTTTTAAATGGATGCAATACACATTTGAAGATAGAAATGTTTGGAATTTTGTTTAAATTTAAATCATGAAGAGAAGATTTTCAGAGCATTGTGGAGTTTAGCTAGCACTGCCTTTGGAGAGCATCTATCAGGCTGTGTCCCTCTTACAATGGGTCCCTCTTACACAGTGCTCAACAATAGACAGATAAGCTGCACATGCAGATGTACAATTCCAATCTCCTAGTGTGCCCCATTAGGAAAAGTAAACATAGGTCAATTCATTTTTATAATTTATTCAACATTAAATATACAAGTTATTTCATGTCATCAACGGAAACTGTTATTAAAACAGTTTTCACCATTTTCTTGAACCAAGTCTTCAAAATCCAGCATGTATTTATGACACACTTCAATCTGAACGAAGTGTGTTGGACAGGATCTAATTAGGACACTGGACAGCAGAGCCCTTTCATTAAAAACTACACCTCTGTCTCATTTAACAGCTGGATATTTCAAAACAGCAGTTTAATCCATTGTTTTGTTTTGCAGTTTCACTTAAAGGTTGATTTACAAAGCACTAAACTCATCAAATTAAAGTATTCCAGCTTGAATTCAATGAAGTTTTCAAAACAAAATATAGGGAGTCAGTGCAATCCATAGCAATGTTGTGAAATTAACTTCTGTGTAGTACCTATAAAGTCCATTATGGTAGGGAAATAAAAATTAAATATTTTGTTACTAAACCAAATGTGTTAAGGGTTTTAAACGCACATGGAGTGTCAATGTGACAGGTGAGCATCTTAACTAAGGGTCTCAGCCATGTTTACACCTGACAGTATTCCCTTGCTCAGCTGAGAAGTAAAAATAGTCAAGATTCCATGATGATGTGCTCCATTCAGATTCAATTAAACTGACAGGACACTGCAGTGAGCTAAGAATCACAACTTGTCAAAGAAAGGTGACCACATTTTTAAAAAGAAGTGACTTTTTTTGGTTAGCTCTCGTTATTTATTATCCTGAAAAGGCAGAGATGGCCATAAAAACCAAAGCATGGGCATCATGTTGCACAAATCTGGGTACCACGTCCACGCACTTTGTAATTATCAGTGTTTGTTCTTCACAGATTATCAAAGGAAAAGAAAAAAAAAGATGTTTCAATGAGAAGAGAGTATGATATTTGTAGTGATTGACACTGGGTCCAAATCGTCCCACCCTTAGAAATAAAGACATAGTAAACAATGTCAATTGTGTGTGTGTGTTTGACGTGTATATTCATGTACATATACAAGAGAAATGTTAAGGTATTCAGTCAGGAAACAAAACCTTAAAAGACTCATCTTTCTTAAAACTTGTGGGAGGGACAAGAATTAAACATGCAGGGAGAATATGGTGGACACAGCGAAACTGGACCAACCAGATCTCCAGAACAAATAAGGGTTCGTATGACATTAACGAAAAAGACCCGAACCTTAAACTTTGTATTAACTTCCTGAATAGTTTCCATTTTAAAGACTTAAGATGACTATAAACAACAAAGGATGGGTGGGTTAATCATGACTTCACACAAGGCGTTAACTATCATTCAGTTTTTCTGAGTATTTCCCCTAGCTCTTACTCATCCATTTTGGTAGGTACACAACTGTAATCTTAGCATTTGTGAGATGTAGGAATTCATGGTTATCCTCTGCTGAAGAGTGAGTCCCAAACAGAGGCCAGCCTAGGCCACCTGAGACCTTCCTCCAAAAACAGAACAACAACAACAAAAAAAAACAGAAAGGTTTAAATCTAAATGAATAGAGCCAGTATTGAAACTATCTTTGCACATTCACGTGGTAACGGAGTTCTCACTTAGTAACAATGAAAAGGTTTGGCTTTGATGGCCTGACTTACAGCTTACGGAGGAAGGCTGCTTTACAGAAGGACACTATCTTGAGGTGTGTTTAACTGCTCTCATGTAAAATATGAAGTGAACTTGAAACAAAACATTGAATTGCTGACTTTACAGATTGTTAAAACTGGGTTTTTATAAACACGAAGGGAAGCTGGGGTATTAGAAATGCCATAAACCAGACATTGAAAATGCTTTCTACCAAGAGTTGACATTTCTATTAGATATAATTAAATATTCAATTGGAAAGGAATGAAATCAAAACATCTAAAAGTGAAGCCCAGGGTTGGGAGAGATGGCTCACTCTTTCTGCTCTCGTAGCTGGTCCTGGTTGAGTTCCCTGAACCAACAACAGTTCACAACCACCTGTACCTCAAGCTCCAGGGCACCCAAAACCTTCTTCTGGCCTCTGAGAGTACCCACACACACATGGACAGATACACACATAAATAAAAATAAATCTTTAAAAGATGAAGCCCTCTCCCAAGCAGGTTAACTTAAGTATAAAACAACAAAACCCTATAAAAATAAAAATAAAAAAAATGGTAACTTAAGAGTCCCAGTAACCCAGGATACTGCAATGCAGACATTGAGTCTTTCTTAGAATGTCCCAGGATCAAAACTTCACTCAGAGCTGCTGCTATAGGTAATGATACCCCCCAGAGCCCCCAAACTTAGGAGTTTTTCTTTTGTGAAAAGGACCTTGGGTACCCTACAGATATTTACTCTTCTGCTGAAAAGTGAGCTCATTAACACAATGACATCATTATGAGAAATTACAATACTGGGGGGTGGGGGGATGAAGTAGAAAGGTCATTTATTCCATCTGTCAGATATAATTTACCTTGCCTTGCCAGTGAATATTTTGGGGCAAATATTAAGTGGAGAACCTAAAACTTACTATTGTAACTGTTATAAAATTGCGTCCTTACATCAGCTCAATGGTGCTATTTTACATAACGATACAAGTGAAGGGAAATGCTGTTATTTGGGGCGGCAATACTTCTCCCATGCCTGAAGAAAGCCCATGGTGAAATCAGATATAACGTTCAAATGAAGGAGAAAATATTATTTTAAATGTGTGCAATTTTTGAGATTGGGCATTTGTACTTTTTTAGTTTTATCTATTGTCTTTCATTAACAATTTACTGTTTGTGAGTAATGTGTGCTTAAGACAAACTAAGGAAAGTAATTATCTGTGAAAGACTTTGTATATTAAACAAATGCTCCGAATCTTGGCTGTACTTTCTCTACTTTCTGCCTAATGTACTGGGATTCCTAGAGTTGTATTTAGAGCATTCCAAACGCCTGAATTCTTAATTTAAGATCTGATAATGGTCTGAGTTTTTAACTCAGTTATGTCAAATCTATAGTTACCAAGTTACCAACCTTGTGCTATTACTGGAAATTTGGGGGGCCCCACCTAGGATGTCACATGTTACTGAGAAAACTGGGGATCCCTTTCAGGGTACTTAGTCCTGTCAACAGAATAACTGAGAACAGACTCAGAAGGAAGCTCCTGGACAATTTTATTAGACTTTAATCAACAACAAGGCAGGCAAGCTGGGAATCACAGCAGCCGTCAAAAGAGAGAGGATGAAGAAGGTGAATAGCCATGCAATCTCAGTAAGGACAGCATGTTTAGCAATGGGTGTCAGCCACGTTCTGACAAGTGGCCACACAGAATGCAGGAGCACTTCAGAGTGAAATGAGAGTCCAAAGGGTGAGGGAAAGCAGGCCCAAATTCAGAATCATACTGGAGGAAGAAAGACAGAAAGAAAGAGAAAAGAAAAGCAACACCTTTTCCTGAGAGGTGTGCCCACCTAACAGCTTCGTGGCAGCTTAATACTGACTGAGCCTGTGCCCAGCTTTCTGGGGAAGAAAAGTACATTTCCTCATTAAAGGGATAATTATCCCTCCTCTCCTTAGCATGAGTTAAGGTGAACTGGCCTTTCTAAGGAGTAGTCCCTTAGCCAGGTGATGGGCCAGCCCAACCAGATTAACTCATGTTTTAGGTAGCTTGAAATATTAGGTCTCCACATAGGCCTAGAATAGATAGCATTCTCTGGACTGAGAAATAGATTTCTTTCAATGGGTCTCAAAAATAGATAATAAATATACATTAGCCAAAGGAAATAATACAAAAGCTCCCCAAGCCCACTTTGAACAAGTTTGAGGAGTATTTCAGTATGATGCGCTGCTGTCCAGTTGGATGGGGCACAGCTCCTCACTCTGCTGCCACTGCCTGCAGCCTGCGGAGCTGTTTGCAGACTTCTCGGATAGCAGAAGTGAAGTTTCTAGCTTCATCGAAGAACAGAACAGCTGGCCTCGTTAGAAAGCAAAGGCAAGGTGCTTCAGGACAGGGCAGGGCATGAGCGCCCCAGAGCATGACGTCTGCTTTCCTAGGGTCACCTAAGTATGTGTACAGTGAGTATGTCTACATATGCACCCACATATTCCTCAGCTTCCCAAGTTACCTTGTCTATAAAGTAATTTACTGTAATGCTTAAAGAGCAGACACACAGTTCTGTCTTGTGGAATTACATGGGAGATTTACTGCACGATTCAGAGAAAACAACAGAGTGGGGTCTGCTTGCCTGTGAGGTGAAAAGAATACTGCATCCGTTACAGCAAAACAACACAGCAGCGCCTTTTAATGCAGACCCAACAGCTGAAGATTCAGCAGACTCGTATCTGAACAGTTAGAAACCTTGAAAAAGTCATGAAATACCAACCACGAAGTTAGGAGAACATAATGGGGAAACCGTAAGATCACTATGGAGAACTGAGAGCACCAGCACTTAGCAATGTACACAGGCAACGGCCTTTTGACTGGGATTCTCTGACAGATCCGCTGCCTGGGATCTAGTTCAACTGTTATCTGAAAGATGGATTAGCTACTTTTGTGCTGCTGTGATCCAAATTTCAACCGGGGCGGGGGGGTGGGGGACATTAAGGAAAAGTGTGTTCTGGCTCCATTTCTGAAGGACTTCAGTCTGTCACAGCTTCTGGAGCAACCTGTCAACTTGCACAGTGGCAGACAACTGGACCCAAGGATAGGCATAATCTTCAAAGAGTTGGCCCTACTGACAGCCAAGCCCTCCCTCCTAAATCCTCCACACCCTTCAAAGCAGCACCGGAAGGTAGAGTCTGAGTGTGCAAAGTAGGAGCTTGCAGGAGACATTTAAAATTCAAACCACAGCGTTCTGCCTTTGGCCTCAAAGCCTTTTGGGTATCCAAAACGCACTTAGTTAAACATCATGGTCTTTTAAAGTCTCCATGGCCCTTGAATAGTCCTAACATGCTTCAAAAGTCCAAATTTTCTTCCGAGAATCAAGCCAAATGTGGTATGATTTTCTGTAAAATCAAAAAACAAGTTACTTCCAATACACAATGGTGTGTATTAAAATGTTATCCAAGACTGAAGCCCATCAGGGCAATCCTATGCTGTGTGTGCCCTCAAAGGCAGCTGGTGGCAATGGGTTTGGGAGCACTGACCCTTCAGAGTACCACTTTCACACTGGACTACTGAGCCAGTACCGATCACTCTGTGCCTGTTTACTGTCCCTACCCACCCTCCCACTCCCCCAGCACTGAGACATTAGGAGCCTGCCACACAGCCCTGTTTGCAAAGAGATTCAGGCCCTCGGGAGCCCTTCCCTGACCAAGCCATATTCCTAACCCTATTTTTTTTTTCTTCCAATTTTCCCTTCTGCAAAATTCAGGTTAAATGGTCTTTGAAGGTCAGTGTTGTTTTGGATACAGTTTAATGTGTTAGAAAATTGCCACTCACACCCCCACCCCAGTATGGTGATGTTCAGAGGTGACAGGACTTCAGGAGGTGGCAACACAGGGCCCTGCCCATTCGCTGGCGTATCTTCCTCTGCACCCCCTCCGTCTCCTAGTCCACCACTATGACGCCGTTGGCCATGCAGTGATGTAGACAGAGACGCCTCGGCACAACTGCACTGGGTTAGTATTCAGACTCTCAGCTAAGTTCCCAGGCCCAGGTATTCAGCTACAATGAAAAGAGATTGACACAATCTCTGTATTTTAAAAGCAATTTAAAGAAAATGAAAACTTTCATTCTTAAATAAAAATCATAACCCTATTTTGAAACTGCAAACGACTTAAGAATGAGCTAAATAGCAAATTCCCACATATAGACAATTACTAAAATAAATGTATTTACTTATGTGTGTGCATGTGGGGGGGGGGGTAGAAGAAAATGTATAGCATCTGCTCTTTTCAACCCATGGACTCTGGGAATCACACTTCGGCAGTCAGCTGTGGCTGCAAGGCCCCAGCCGCTGAGCCAGCCCCCACACACGGTTATTCACCGTCAGGGAGGGGGACGGAGGGTCTCAGGGGATTTCACTAGGGGCAGGCAGGCACTGGAGTCATTTCTTCATCCGAGTCACTTGCTTCGCTCGCTGGTTCCAATTTCCCATCTTTAGAGTCTCCAGTTTCCACAGTTAGTTCTAATTCCCCTAAATCTTTTTCTATATTTAAATCTGTTTCTACATTTAAAATGGTTTTCTGTTTGCGCTTCTTGGGGATGGCATCATTAGCACAAAGTTTCCTCATTTTGATGTTTGGCAATTTCTTCAGATCAAAATCCCATTCCCTAGAAAAAAAATGAGCAAGGACAGTCATTTTCAGAACTCTGCCTGCAGCAGAGGGAAGACCTCAAATTCATAACAGATTTTACATGCGCATGAAAGAGCAACATAAGCTGGTGGCAGGGGGTTGGGGGTGAGGGTGAGGGTGAGGGGTGGAGGTGGGGAGGGTGGGAGTGAGGGTGGGGGTGAGAATGGGGCGGGTGGGGGTGAGAGATGCAATAGCCCAAGCCCTAAGCTTACTTACAATGGCTACAGTAGTATTACCTGCACAGAATCCTACACACTCTAACTTCAAAAGTGCACAAAAAAACCCCTTAGGCTCTGTGGTTCCCTTCTTCTCCCTACCTAAATATTCCCCTTTATGAAGCTACATGGTCTCAAGACCCTTAAAAATTAGAATTACATCATAGCTAGCAAACCTCTAAGTCAGAAAAGGGCGTTCTTCTCACACACAGCACAGTGCAGCTGACTTTTCTTTTTTTTAAATTCTCCTTTTGGAACCTCCCTCTTTGTACCTCCTGAGAAGTGTGGAGAGCCACGGCTTGCTACCCAGCGATGTTAACACGCTGTGCTCACCTCCTCTCACACTGCTCACTCTGGAAGAGGCAGAATGCACACTGCTTCAGACCCAAGGAACACACTTTATTTTCAATTAGGCCTGAATTTAAACATCCAATTTCAATTCTGAAAAACTTCAGACTCCCTAACATGTTTTAGTGAAGACCAAAAAGTATTAATTAAAAACATTTTCTAATACACAGAATCTGTGCTTGAAAAATAACATCTGAGTTTCTACAGCTCATTAGTCTCCATGGTTACCAGGGTAGAATCACAGAGCCCTGAACCAAAGGTTCTCAATGACCAAACTGTTACCCTGGCATCCGTTTTCTTCATCTGTTCTTGTTATTTTATCTTAGGAAATAAGAACCGGCATCGGGGAGAAAAGAGACGCCTCTACTACACTACTGCTCTGCTAAGGAAAAGAGCACCACAGCATCAGCTGCTCGCACACTGGTGCTGCAGACAGACACAAAGCACACCTACAGGAGAGGACTGCCAACATGACACTCCCCACTTGCTTTTCTATCAACATCTACACCCAGGGAAGCTCATGCCTGTTTATTTCATACACAACTTCTAAGGAACTCAGATACTCACCGAAAAGTCTGCAGATTATTAGTGTCTAAAATGTCTGGGATCTCTGAGAAAGAAAATAATTAATATCCATTAGGCTTACTTGTTATAGTTTCACTCATTATCACACATACAACATGGTAATTGATGTTAATAGAGAAGAAAAACTTTTTAAATGCATGTGTAAATGTGCCTGTGTACATCATGTATGTGCAGGTGCCTGCAGAGTCCAGAAGGTGTGGGACCCCCTAAAGCTGGAGTTAGAAGCATTTATGAGCTGCCTGAAATGGCGGTTAGTACTGCTGAGCCTTCTCCCCAGTCCCAAAGGAAAACATCTTCAAAGCACGGCTGGTCCACACAAACACTACACATGGGAAGAACAGAGCTCGGTGTCTAGGGGTGACAGAGGAGCTGTTACATAGGAGGTATTGGTACAGACTTGTGAGGAAAGCCAGCATCTTCAACAGCAAGTGTGGGTGCTGATTTTGTAGTGCTATGAAAGACAAGTTATTATGTACATACCTTATGTCACATTGGTACAATTATCAGATTTCAATGATTAGTTAACATTAAAAGATCACACTATTCAAACTATGAAAAACTTCTTAACAATTACAATCATTAGGCTATCGAAACAGTTCAATACAATCTAAGTTACCCTGTAACCTGCATGGGAGCTCAGTTACTGAGGAATATCAGACAGGGACTTCTAAGCAGCACTGGAACTGTTAAAAAGTGGGACTTCAGGTGGACTGTGTTTCTGCTCTTTAAGACGGCCAATGGGAGGAAGGCATGTTTAAAACCATGTGTCTGGGTGTCAAGCTGGCAAAGGGTGGAATCTCAGACCTTAGTTTCAACTGTCAACTTGATGACATCTAGACTCACCTGGGAGGTGGGCCTAGGAAAGCCCATGGGGCATCACCTTCATTAGGGTAATTGAGGAATGAAGACCAGCCCTAAATGCTGAGTGGCACCATTTCCAGGGCTGGGTCCCAGACTGAATGAAGAGGTAGAACTGAGCACCAGCCTCCATTGTGGATACAATGTCACACAGCTCCTACTGCTGTGACTTCAGCACGACAATGAGCTTAAGCTGTGAGACAAAATAAACCCGTGCTCCCTTACGTCGCCTTTGCCAGGGCATTTTATCACAGTGATAGGGAAAGACACACACACATCTTATATTCACAGAAAGTAACCACATGCGAACGTCACAGCAGAGGCAGAAGTTCTATGCCACTCTTGTACAGTGCCACGAACTTTTGAGCTAATCCTCAACTTTCTGAACCAGAGAAGTATGTCCTCTATCCTATTTATATTTTTTTGAGATAGGGGCTCTCTATGTAGCCCAAGCTGTCCTGGAACTATAGACTAGTGTGGCCAGGAACTCAAAGAGATCCATCTGCCTCTACCTCCCAAGGCTGGGATTATCGGTGTGTGCCAGCATGCCTGGCTTCTATTTTATTTTATTTGTTTAGTTCATTTATTTAGTTAGTTTACATCCTGGCCGCAGTTTCCCCAGCCTCCTCTCCGCCTAGTCCCCACCCCACTTCTCTTTTATTTTTAAACTGAGAAAAACAAGGGCATCCACTTTATTATCTGGTGGGTTCCCGGAATGAAGTGTGGATGTGTCTAGGTCCAAAAAACATGCTTTCCTTTTTGAATTTTTATAGATTAAGAAACACATTTTAGCAGTGAAGAGGAAGTCCACACACTTCACAGTTTCTAGTATTATCCAGGGTAGTTCTTTGGGGATCTTATATGTTCATGCTCTTTATATTAAAACTTGAAATTTTAATTTTGCTATTGTGTATTGTAACTACTATACGGACCAAGAAAGTAGACATTAACACTGAAGCCTCCAGGGGCCAGGCCAGAAATATGAATGAAGACAGCGGCATGACAACCGTTGAAACGATGCTGAGTTCTGCGAGCACAGCGGCTACGTCAGACCTCAGCCCCGGAGAGTCTGTGCCCAGGTCGTCTGGTTTCTTAAGCCACAGACCTGTACTTACTAGTTGAAATCATTATTTAAAAAAAAGTGACAGTATTATCTGTGGGCCATGTCACCTTGGAATGGCCACCAATGTAAGGGTCTTCAACTCGGTAGGCTATCTATCCAGGCCAGGGATCTTCAGTGCTGCCAGCTAGTAATGTGCCTCAGTGTGGCTGGAGAGCCAGAGTCACAGCAGTGGGAAGGAGGAGAGCTGTCTGGAGATGGACACCCGAGTAGGGTGTGTGCTAGGAAGAAGTGTCACAGAAGAAAGACGGTGTCAACTGTCACAAGGAAATGAAATGAAAAGTGTTCTAGACGTGAAGGGGATCGAGGTAAATCAGGAGCGAATCCTTTGAAACTCATCGTAAATCGGATCCTATTTTAAAGGCAAAGGAGTCAGAGAACACACACACACACCGAAGCCGTAGCCTTCATACTGCTGCCGCTCCCGCTCCATCGTCTGCTTGATGACAGTCTCCCGGGAGTGGTGACGCCGTCCCTGTCTGTCCTTGATGCTGTTATGCAGCTCAATCTGCTCCAGCTCACTGCTGAATCGACCCAAGTATCTGAAAAACATGAAAATGATTTGAGTTACATGTCTATATATCTGGGCTGGTGTTGATTCATTTTAAATGTGGCACCCAGGTGTCCCTGTCCTTTGAATACTGACATACTCAAATTCCTCATTTCCTGAGACTTAAGATCACTTTCCTCAATAATCCAACCATTTCTTGACTTCAGTGAACACATAGCATGCTGTCTGCTGAACTGAGGACCCCACACTGAATCAACTACTGGGTTTCTTCTCTAGACCTTAGCATCTCCCCGTCAACACAGACTTTCACAGCACGCCTGCTCCATCGTCTGAGGACATAGTCTGACATTCTAAGTGAGGTTCAGAGGCATCCACCTAACGTCTCTCTCCCTATTCCACACCTACGTTCTACCTCTTAATGTCGCTGCATTCAAGCTCTCCATCGGGCTACTACTAACCAAGCAGAGGACAACAGTGTTGTGCCTGGACTGTACCATCTACCTCTTTTTTTTTTTCTTCCATTTTTCTTTATTAAGAAATTTTCTACTCACTCCACATACTAGCCACAGATCCCCCCTCCTTCCACCCCCTAGCCCTCTTTCCCAAGCCACCCCTCATCCCCACATCCCCCAAATCGAGGTCTCCCATGGAGAGTCAACAGAGCCCAGCTCACTGAGCCTAGGCAGGTCCAAGCCCCTTCCCACTGCACCAAAGCTGTGCAAGGTGTCACACCTCAGGCACCAGGTTCCAGAAGCCTGCCCATGCTCTGGGGACAGATCCCGATCCCCCTGCCTGGGTGCCCCGCAGACAGTTCGAGCCAAACAACTGTCTTCCGTATCCAGAGGGCCTAGTCCAGTCCAATGGGGGCTCCACAGCCACCAGTCCACAGTTCATGGACTTCCACTAGTGTGGCCAGTCATCTCTGCATGTCTTCCCATCATGATCTCAATGTCCCTCACCTGCAGTGTCTCTCCTCTCTCTCATCCATCAATTGGATTCCCAGAGCTCAGCCTGGTGCCTGGCTGCGGATCTCTGTATCTGCCTCCATCAGTCACTGGACAAAGGCTCTATGATGACAGCTAGGTTATTTGCTAGGCTGGTCACCAGAGTAGACCAGTCCAGGCACCCTCTGGACCACTGCCAGCAGACCAAGGTGGGGTCAACCTTGTGGATTCCTGAGAGCCTCCGCAGCACCCTGCCTCTTCCTATTCCCATGATGTCCTCATCTATCCTGGTATCTTCCTCCCTGCCCTCCCACTTTGTCCCTGATCCAGTTTGACCCTCCCATTTCCCTGTGTTCTCATCCCCCACTCCTCGCCCTCCCATCAACCTCTTAACAAGACCTCTGGCGACGCCATGCCCTTCTCAGCACTGTCCTCATGCTCAGGCTGTGACCTGAAGTATATGCATGAGGACCACACAAGCATTCTGGAAAGTCCTCCCAAGGCTTCCTATGTCCCTAGGTGAGGTCCAAACTCAGGCGGTCACCTAACTGGTCACGAGCCAGCCATCACTGGCAGCACCTGTTACACTAGCCTTGCTACTCCCGTCATGATGCGTCTGTGGGTCCTTCTACCCGCCAGCTTCTCCCCCAACCCCGGGGACTTAGACACTACTCTCTCAGTCTGAAGATGCTTTCGGGCTACCTTACCTCAACACCCAGGGCCAGTGCAGACAATGCTTCTTCAGGAAGCCCTCCCTAACCCCAGGAAACTAAGGGGGCCAAGTTGGGCCACACACTCAAGACTTCCTGTTAAAAAGCCCATCTGCTAGTACCCAAATCTAGAACACAGGTGTCTCCGAGAACCAGGCTGGAATTCTCTTTTCTGACCCTCTGTTCACAACATGCCCCATATTTACCTTTCAATTAATTCACAGGCATCCTTCTTTGAATATCTCGTTTTTTTTGTATCCAGATGACTGTGAAACCACTGAAGTTTGTCACCTATGAATAAGTACCAAAGTTTAGCACCACAAGCCTCATGTAGGCAAAGGTTTTCACCACAATCCTCCACAGCAAAGCATTAAAAACTAAAGCAAACTATTTCATTTTTAAATAAGATCTGTGTAGCTGAGTCAATGGAACCAATTTGTCAGGAATGAAACTGTAACATTTTATTTAAAGAAAGGGACAAGGATGGAAGTGACGTTTGCCTCCACACACTTCTTTCCTTTGATACAATCTGTTTGTATTTTAATTATGTGCGGATGTGTGTGCATGTGAATACGTGTTTATGCATGTGAGTGCAGTATCCAAAGATGCCAGAAGAGGATGGTGGGTCCCATGGAGTGGGATGTGTGGGTAGTTGTAAGCCAACCGTGTGGATTCTGGGAACTGAACTCTGCAAGAGCAGTGTGCCTGCCCTCCTAACTACTGAGCCATCTCTCCAGCCCCATACATTTCTTGTCTAACATCAGGGAAGGGAGGAAAGATGGACTGACAGAATATGAAATTCTAAATTCTTATAAAGCAAAACATGTAACTTGTTGAAAGTATCTTAAAATTTGATCAATGATGAAAATAGTATTTGTTAAACAAAGGCTTAGCCTCTGGCACCATGGCCAGAACTTTACAATTCTTCTATTCAGATCAGCACTATTTCACATTTACACATGAAGTCAAGCATCCTAAAGAGATCATCACTAAACATGTTAAGCCTAAGAGAGGTGTCAGGTACTGTGCCAAGAGAAAACTGGACTTGTCAGTAAAAATTTCTTAGCAGTAAATATCACCCACAGGAAGACAGAGAGAGGGGGGGAGGGAGGAAAGGGAGAGGAAGGGAGGGAGAAGAAGGGAGGGAGAGGCAAAAGGGTAAAAGGGAGGAGACTGTGTCACTGACAAGGACTGACCATGTACGCACCCCTATTAACCATGAACCCTCTGCTCCACAATACTTAAGCTCTTGCTGTAGCTTGGCTCTCTACTGCTCTCAAAGGCCCATGTCTTCAACGCTGTTCTCTACTGCTCTGAAAGGCCCATGTCCTAAACGCTGCTCTCTAGTGCTCGGTGCTACTGGGAGATGACGAGACCTTTGAGAGGCCTAGGCGGCACTCTTCCATCACTGAGGAAGTGCCCTTGACGGGGATGCTGGGACTCTTCTTCTCGGCCAGAGTGAGGTAAGCAGCTTGCTCTAGCACACAGCGCCTCTGCCACTGCATTCTGCATTGCTATCAGTCCCAAGGCAACATGATCGGCCTCATGGACTGAAACCCCCGCCACTATGTGCCAAAGCAAACTTTTCCTCTTTCTAAACCAATCATCTTAGGGATGTGCTGCAACAAGTGAACACAGCCACACCCTTCCTAATCTCAGCTGTCGAGAGGATTAAACCCGAGCTAGATGCGGAAGTGCAGGCGAATGAAGTTTCTGCGAAGCTGAGTTGCAGGGAGCACCAGCAGCTGACTCTGAAAGGCAAATAAATGCTTTGCTCCACTTCATTTGTTTTCTTTTAGTGAAGTCTGCTTTTAAAAAAGCTGATAAAGCAGAGAAATTGGTTTAGAGCGAAATTTCATTCTACTGTATGTAGCCAGAATCTCAAGAACTCAAACCCACTTACCGATAAGGTTGAGACGCAAGGCCCTCTCAGTCTTCAATCTTGAACCAAAAGGTGCATATAAGTTAGAACATTTCCAAAGCAGGGGCTTAGAAATCTGTCAAAAATATCACAAAGAAAAACTTCCCAGAGAACTTTGACATTCTTTCACATGTATTTAAAAAAAAAAAAAAAAAGTCAATCTTAACAAAGAAACATGGCATGACATGATGATCTTTTAAATCACTGGAATAGGATGTCACTAGAATGCCAGTGACTACGGAAAGCCTAGAGGGCCAGTACTGTTCATGCAAACAAAGGTTGACTGGGTTATGTTTCCTGGACACCACCCGGAAATATACAACCTCAGCCCAGTTCTCTCAGCAGGCCTCCTGAGCGGGAAACCCTGCAGCGGAAAACACCGCTCTAATATGGTGCATCTCAGGTCAAGGAAGTTTGTCAAATACACATATGGGCGATGGAAAAATTACACTGTTTAGATGTAGTAAATCATGTTAAAAAGAATAACAAAAATGCTAAGTGATAAACGAACACCTGAACTTTGCAAAACTACTATTTTAAGACAGTACTGCCACCATACATCTCTATGTAAAAAAGACACATCCCTCGCATAAAGGAAAATTAGACTATGCCATCAGTCTCTCCTAGAAAACATCTAACCAAATCACTGTAAAACAGCCAAGCTTTATTAAATGAGGCTTTAGGTCTTAGGCAAGGTATTAAAAAGCAACTGTGTGGACACCTGGTGCACTCACTGGAACAGCAAGGCTAGGCCACACAGAAATGACTTCTATCTGATTTTCCCTTTATGGAATTTTTGCAATATCTTCCCCCTCAGCCTCAGACCCTCTCCTCCAGTCTTGGAAGTAACTGTGTACACAAATTAGAAAATTTCTAAAACAAGGGTCTTGAAATCTGTTAAAAACATTAAAAACACTTTATGTTCTTTGGTATATTTTTTCTTTTAGTATCTGTGGCAGATTTCTCTCCAAGCCCTGCCCAACTCTGAGATGGCAGGCCAGCTACTAGACTGACTCAGGCCTTGACTGCCTTCTCTCCTATCTACAGCACTCGTTCAGTGACCTAGTCTCCTGGCCCCAAGCCACCAATCCACAACAACAACAGCTCCCTAACCTGTGACCATTTGGTGATCTAGTCTCCTGACCCCAATCCACCAACCCACAACACCAACAGCTCCCTGTGACATCTCTAATCAGTTCCTGAACACTAGAACCAAGACATCTAACCACATATCTCACATTTCCTTTGTTAGGTCGAACACACAGCACACCCAAGTAGTTTCCTCCCATGATCTCTCAGCTCTGCTCAAATGTTAATTAAGTTCTCCAGGTATCTTCCAGGACTTCTATAAAATATAACCTCTCTCTCTTTATCCTTCAACCTGTGTTAATTTTTCTTCACTACACTCACCATGAACTGCCACTTAAACTTACGTTTTAGGTTAGCTCTGTAAAACCAGAGGCTTCATGCTGTTTACCTCAGTGTAAGAACACATGAAAAAAATATTAAAGGAAAAGCGGGAGTGGAAACTGAGGAACACACACCTGATAGGCAGATGAGTGAAGGAGCTTTCCCTAATGCACAACACTAACAGGACTAGACACTTACCTCTCCTTCTTGTCTTGTTTGTGAGACTCTCTTGTAATCTGAGCTGCTTTCCTGCTGTACGGATGGATGACTTTTTTTTCCCGACCTACAATTTTTCCTTTCAGTCCTTTAGGCTAAAAGATAGGACACGTGTAGTTAGATACACAATGACTCACTTTTAATGATAAGGATTTCGTTCATGTCAACTCCAAGATCAGGTTATGAAAGGACTCACTTCCATCTCTGTCGCCCCCACTCACACAGGGATAACTACACAGAAGCTTTCTTTTAAAGACTTTGAATTTCCATTGTAAGAGTAGTATGAAATTCTCTAAGTATGAAAGGGCTTTACAGCTTTCAAAGATTTAAGTTAACGAACTCAAACCACCAAGATTCAATGCAAAGAACACAACCTCTTGAACTACTTACATCCTGACTCAACTGTAGCTTAAGATTCTTTATAACTGTTTATGAAAGATTGTCCACAGCAAGGGATGGATAAAATAATAAGGCACAAAAATATGAAGAAGATTCACTACAGTTTTAAATTTTTGTACAATTTAAAACATTTATCTGCAAGGACAAACAAAACAAACTCTCAATAACAAGTAACTTCAGGGGTTGGCAAGATGGCTCAGTGAATAAGGGAACTTGCTGCACAAGCCTGGTGACCTGACTTCCATTCTCAGAGTCCATGTGAGGGTAGAAGGAAAGAATGACTCCACAAGGTTGTCCTCTGTCCTCCACATGCAAACAGCAGCCGGGGTGTGCAGGTGACTTTTTCTTTAATCACTTAATTATGTATAAACTGTCCATGCTGATTACCGGTTAAATTCACTGGCTCACCAAGCCAGACTGACATTTGTTTGCTTCCTCAGGAAAAATTCACAAAACTGTCAGACAGGAGCTAGACACTTAATTTCCAGAACTCTGTGGAGCATTCTATCATTCTAATTAAGCTGACGGAAGTTAAATAGTTTCTCAAAGATGACAGGTGTCCCTCTCAGGCCTCTGGAATCACGGGCACCTTTTAAAGAAAGGTGCAGGACCACATTTGATGATAACGTGAAAAAACGGGGCCAAAAATGTGACAATTAGAACACAATTATAAAAATGCTACTACTTTGACTTCTATGCAAAACAACCCATTGATAATAAAAAGTGTGGCGAACGGGAAGTGCCGATTGCCAAGGAGAAAAGTGCAGTCAAATTCCCAATACAACTACATGCAACTGCTTTATTATCTGAAATGCTCTGAAGATTAGAGATGGAAATCGTGCAAGCATAGGGACACAGACTGAAAGTAGGAAGACAGGAAAAGACAAAGAAACAAGGAGGGGACAGAGACATGCCTCAGCGACTAAGGGCGCCAGCTGCCAAGCCTGACGACTTGAGTTGGATCCCAGGTGGAGAACGGACTCCCACAAGTTGTCCTCCACTATCCACACGCACACAACATCAATTATAAACTTAAAAACGGATGCTGCGAATGAACCCTTTATAGTCCTACACATAAATGGTTTATGAACGCTCTTAAGCAACTACTCTGCTTAGTATATATGCGGAGTTAACAACATCGTTGCCCGGGAGGAATGGGGGTTGTAGAGGCAGGACCGCAGTCAGAACGGGCCACCGAGGGGCTGCGGACCGATATACCTCGTGGCTGACTGTGCCCAGGGCAGGGCGGATCTCTACCTGCCCGTGGGCAGAGGTGGGTGGACCCAGAAATGCGGTTATTAGTGAAGATGCAAAGGTGCAGAGTTTCCACCAGGAGAAGGAGACCTTGGGAAGTGGACCACGCCACAGGGCGGGGTGGAAAAGCGCGGGAGCACTCCGATCCCCGGGGCAGACACCCAGGACCCAGCACCGCCCAGGCAGCCGCTCCGCGTCGCGGCCTCTCCCGGCTCCGAGAATCCCCTTCCCGTCCGCCCGAGCAGAGCCCCCGGGGGAACCCAGCGAGCGCGCCACCCACCATGGCGATGTCCTGGCCACCGAGGCCCCGCGGTGTCCAGATACAACAATCTCACGGACTGCTGCCGCAGCAGCTCCAAGTTCACTCCAGTGCAAACACACGTGGGTCCGGGGGAAACAGATCCGAACGGACCGGAAGGGGAGGGGCCGGTGCTGTCTCTAAAACGTCCCCGGAAATCCAGACTTCGTTTTTCTCAGCCCGCCTTGGATTTGCAGCCCCTTACACTGGACCAGAGATTTGAATCCTGCCCAGGACGCCTCATATGTCTGTCTTCTCTTGTTTCTGTCTGAAAGACCGACCTGAGCATCTGCCAGGAGGCAGTTCTCCAGGGGCGAGCACCTTGTCCGGAGATAGCGTCACTGGACTTGGATACCCTCTGAAGGTCTTAATGACGCCCTGTGTCCCAGAGTGGTGAGAGATCAACCTTCGCCTTTCCTGGGATTTTCTCTATCATTTTCTTTCCAATCCAGTTGTTCTGTTTTCGTACTGCATGTTAAAATTCCATAGGAAATCTTGCTCAGTAACTATTAATGATCAAATGCCTAGAACATTCCACACATTGACAATATTCCCGCCTTTTGCATAATTCCTATCCGAAGTGGGTCATAAAGAAGTATTTCAAATAGTACTGGGATATAAACTATACCGTGGATCAACTAGATTTAACATACACACAGAGAGAGAGGGAAGGTGAGGAGAAGGGAGGAGAAAAAGCAGGAAAAGAAGAGGGAGAGGATGACAATGAATGGATTCCTTGTATCTTATCAGACCACTCTGGAATAAAAGTAGAAACCAATAGCAGGAGAGACTACAGAAATTACACAAATACTTGGATACTTAACAATACACTTTTGAATGTACTTTGGGTCACTGAAGAAATCAAGGAGGAAATTGAATTCCTAGAAACAAATGAAAATCATAGGCAATCTGGGAAATCGCTAAGCATCCTAAGAGGAAAGTAAGTATACACAATAATACAAAATCAGAGTTTTCTAATATGCTAATAATTCACCTTAAGGTTCTAGAAAAATAAGAAGTCACTACCAAACTAAGTAGCTGGCAGAAAAAAAATCATAATGATTAAAGCAGGACTTAATAAAACAAACACCAACAAACTCTCAATATATAGAACTAGCCAAAAAAAGTTGTTTTTCTTTAAAGGATAACAAGATTGACAAGCCTCTAGCCAAACTAATAAAAAGAATGAGTAAGAAATCCCAAATTAATAAAAGTAAAGGTGAAGGGGGAGTTGTAACAACAGACTCCAATGAAATCTGTAGTATCATTATATTCCAAAGAGCTAATAACATGTATGACACACTAAAATTATGCTCTGAAGATATAAGTATATTAAACATGTTTACCACAAGTAATGATATTGCAGTAGAGATTAAGTCTCCCCAAAAGAACAGCCAAGGATCAGATGGACTCATGGCTGAGTTCTACCAAACTTTTAAGAAAGTCCTAATACCAACACTTCTGAAATTTTTTCTCAAAATAGAAAATGAAAGAATACCAAATTAATTCTATGAAGCCAGTATTATCCTGAATAGAATTAGATAAAGACACAACAGCAACAATTACAGACTCACTTCCTGATGAACAGAACAGCAAAAATTGTGAACAAAATAATTGCAAACTAGATATAATTCAAAACACATTACATAATTCAAATGTATTCAAAGTATATAATATAATTAGAAATACATTAAGATTATCATACATCATGGCTAAGTGGTAAGCTTCATCCGTGTGATGCAACTTGGTCCAATGTACTATATCAGTGAATATAATACCACCTCACAACACAAATAAACTAAAAGACACAAATCACATGACCACAAAAAAAGACAGCAAAGTTCAACACGCCTTTATGATAGAAGTCCTAGAGAAATTAGGAACAGTTTCAACATATCCCCAAATCACGAAATCTATACACAACAAACATGTAAGCAACATTTTGCTACTGGGGTCGGGGGTTGGGGTGGGGTGGTGGATTAAGTGTTTCCTCTAAAATCTGGAACAAGACAAGAAGGCCCATTGTTGGCACTCTTGCTCAGTACAGTGCTTGAAGTCTTTTTTTTTTTAAAGTCTCAACTAGAGCAATAAGACAAGAGGAAGGTACAGAAGTATAAAACAGGAATGAAAGAAGTCAAATTATCCCTGTCAATGAACTATATTATCGATTCCTAAAAGACCCTACAAACTCCACCAGAAAACTCTCCAATCCAGCAGACACTTTCAGTAAACTTGCAGGATACAGAATTGACATACAAAAAAAATCAAGGACTTTCATATCTATCAATAATGAACTCACTGGGAAAGAAATTAGGAAAATACCCCATTCAGAATAGCTCCCCAAAATACAAAGTACTTAGGAATAACCTCAATCATGGGAGTGAAAGATCTCTACAATTAAAATTTCTAGACACTAAAAAAAGAAACCAAAGATACAGACATGGAAAGACTTTCCATACTCCTACATTGACAGAAACATAACAGACCGCAAATAGCCAAAGCAACACTACAGAAAGAGAATACAATACCTAACCTCAAACTTATTCTAATGCTATTGTGACAAAGAGAATATGATACTGGCACAAAACAGACATGTAGACCAGTGAAACAGAACAGAGGACCCGGAGATTATTCCACACAGCTTTGGCCACCTGATTTTTGATGACGTTGTTAGAAGTGGAGTGGAATGGATAGAAGACAGACTAGTCAACAGCGGGAGTGATAGCAATGTCTTTACACCTTCAGAAAACTGGGTTCAGGCCTGTAGTTTTGGTGCTTATCCTGGATCTCGATCTGTAGACCAGGCTGGCCTCGAACTCACAGAGATCCGCCTGGCTCTGCCTCACGAGTTCTGGGATTAAAGGCGTGTACCACCACCCTCGGCCCAGGCCTGTATATCTTTTATCTTGTGATGTGACATGAAAATCGGTTCCAAGTGGGTAGTGGCCTTAAGTTAAACCCTGAAACGCTGAAACCAGTAGAGGAAGACATAGGAAACACACTTCACGACACAGGTCCAGACAGGAAATTTCTGAGCTGGACTTCAATAGCACAGGTGCCAGGAGTGAGGAAGTTGGACTACATGAAATGGAAGTTTCTGCACTGTAGAGGAAGCTAGCAGCAGACTAAACAAAGAGCCTGTGGGATGGGAGAGAAATCTGCCAGCTCTGCTTCAGGCAGGGAGGCTAATGTCTGAATTTTATAAAGAACAGAAAAAACTAAGTGCAAAAACCCAAACTGCTAACTAGCAAAGAGGCCAACAAACAGACTGCTTTCAAAGAAGAAATATAAATGGCCAATCAGTATTTTAAGGAAGTATTCAATGTCCTCAAGCCATGTGGAAATGTTCCTTCAATCCACTGTTAGCCCTGTGAAATCTCACGTCTGTTTAATTTATCTTCCTTTGTAGATAAACCCATTTGTCTTGTGGAATGATTTCCTGGGTATTGGCATGCCCTTACCCATCTTTGACATTCTGTGGCCCCTTTAAATTCCTGGGTAGGATTTGTATTATCTAGACATAGAACATCTTGCCCTCCCTATCTTCTAGCCCTTTTTTTTTTAATTTTCTATCTCTTTATTCAGTTTTTCCTGCCAAAAGGGAGGCTCCGAATGTGATCTTTTTACCGGCTTGTTTTATAAATAATCATCTAGTCATGTAATTTATCTGTTGTCATCTTCATTTCCTTCATCTTTGTGTGGGGGTGGAGGTGGGAGGCGCATGTGGAGTCCAGAGAAAGTCTCTGAGGCTGTTCCTCGTGTGCTGACTGTTGCATGGCGTCTGTTCTTGGGGGTCCCTGAAGCAGTTACGGCCAGCAGGGATCAAACTGCAAAGAGGTGAGGAGGAAGACTTGGAACAACTGGACCTGGTCAGTCAGACTGGATCAAAACTGCTGGAGTCTGATTCGTGGTTTAATTTTCTTACATATTTAATCCCTTGGAAAATACCCACTCTAGAAAACTACCTAAGATCTTTATCCTAAGAATGAGTTCTATTGATCGGCAAACAGTGCTCAGGGCTAGGGCATAGAGGAAGGATTTGTAGCGAGCATAAGGAAGGACAGGTTCTACGGACGGATGATGCAAAGTACATGGGAGTCTGTTTCCTAAGGATGAGTTATATTCACTGAGAGACAAAGCCCAGGATTCTGGCCTAACCAATTTCAGGATTTGGGGGAAAGTCAGGTGGAGGCTGGCTCGAAATAGAGCAGTGAAATTTCACCAGGTTGTTTGACCATGCTCACTCCAGCATTCCAGGTGACCAGGAGTCATTCTTCCTTCTGTGGAAGAAAACAGACTTGTATGCTTAACAATTCTGGTTTCTCCAATGCGTACTCTAGGCTGTGCTCCCTACAGCCATCCACTTTTCCTTTGAAAAGGGGGGTTTCTGTCCTAGACATTGCTGAGTACGCTGGGTTGGTTGTCCGGTGAGCCTCGGAAATCTGCCTGCTTCTGCCTTCCCAGTGCTGGGATTACACAGATATCTACATTTCTGCCGGTTCTGGGAATCAAATTCCTGTCCCCAGCCTTCGCATGGCCAGTACTGTATTAATTGAAGTATTCCTCTAGTGTTGGAACACATCCACGAATGGTATCTTATGAGATTTCTGAACGCTTGTGAGAAAACTCCATGAAAATCAAACAAATGTCTTGTGATCTCAGCTTCTTCAAAACATGGAATTGTTCTTGGAATGTGCTTTCATGCCCCTCCCAGGTACAGCAGCTAGGAATGAGTTTCCTTCAGATTATTCATCACAACCAGATACTGTTAACTGTTTATATGGTTTTGCCATGTGCAACTTGCCTATTACGTGTGGTTTTCCCTGGTATTGTACACTTTACTTATGTGACTCTTCTTAATCATCATAGTCTAAACTCTCTGATGCTCTGAATAAAGTTGGCTATTGCATGAAACTTTTTACTCAGCATCATTTATTGGCTCCATTCTCCAAGGTCCCACTGTTTCAGGAGTAGAACATCCTAGTCCTTATTTTTTTTTCTTTCCTAAAACATAATAGACATCAGGCAGTGGTAGCACACACCTTTAATCCTAGCATTCGGAAGGCAGAGATTCATCTGGATCTCTGTGAGTTCAAGGCCACATTGGGAACAGAGCCAGGCATGGTGGCACATGCCTTTAATCCCAGCACTAGTGGAGAGGTCTGGAGGTCTGTACAGACAGACAGGAAGTGATAGAGCTGGGCAGAAAGAGGAAGTGATATAGCTGGGAGGAGAGAGGAAGTAAGATGGCAGGGCACAGAAAGATATATGAGGCATGAGTGTACAGGAAGTAGCTCCCTCTTGGGCTGAGGATTTCCTAGTGGTAAGAACTTGTGGCTGGCTTGTTCTATTCCTCTGATCTTTCAGCTTTCACCCCAATGTCTGGCTCAGGGTTTTTTTTTTAATAAGACCTTTTAAGATTCATATCACACCATGATCATGGGCAGCTCTTATAAAGAAAAGCATTTAAGTGGGGCTGACTTACAGTTCAGAGATTTAGTCCATATTGTCATGGCGGGAAGCATGATGTCACACAGGCAGACATGGTGCTGGAGAGGTAGCTGAGAGTTCTACTACTTCTGGTTAGGCAGGCAGCAGGAAGAAAGGGAGAGACTGTCCTGGCTTGAGCATCTGAAACCTCAAAGCCACCCCCAAAAAGGCCCCACCTCCCAATAGTGCTACTCCCTTTAAGCCAGCCTATGGGGGTCATTTTTATTCTAACCACTACATCTAGAAAGGGAATATGAAATTACTTTTAAAATGCCAGTGGAAAATATTATGTTTTAGGAAAGAAAAAAAAAATAAGGACTAGGATGTTCTACTCCTGAAACAGTGGGACCTTGGAGAATGGAGCCAATAAATGATGCTGAGTAAAGTTTCATGCAATAGCCAACTTTATTCAGAGCATCAGAGAGTTTAGACTATGATGATTAAGAGGAGTCACATAAGTAAAGTGTACAATACCAGGGAAAACCACACGTAATAGGCAAGTTGCACATGGCAAAACCATATAAACAGTTAACAGTATCTGGTTGTGACGAATAATCTGAAGGAAACTCATTCCTAGCTGCTGTACCTGGGAGGGGCATGAAAGCACATTCCAAGAACAATTCCATGTTTTGAAGAAGCTGAGATCACAAGACATTTGTTTGATTTTCATGGAGTTTTCTCACAAGCGTTCAGAAATCTCATAAGATACCATTCGTGGATGTGTTCCAACACTAGAGGAATACTTCAATTAATACAGTACTGGCCATGCGAAGGCTGGGGACAGGAATTTGATTCCCAGAACCGGCAGAAATGTAGCTATCTGTGTAATCCCAGCACTGGGAAGGCAGAAGTAGGCAGATTTCCGAGGCTCACCGGACAGCCAACCCAGTGTACTCAGCAACGTCTAGGACAGAAACCCCCCTTTTCAAAGGAAATATAGTAGCTGGCTTTGTCCTCTGATCCCCAAGCAAGCTTTATTTGTTAGAGCATAAATAAAATATCACCACACCATGGTGTCTCTTCACAGCAACAGTAACTCTAACTAAGATACTAGGTTAGCAACATGTACCTTCCCTCTTCTGGATATACACGGCTATAGATAAATAAATAAAGGCTGATGTAGACAGACTAGTGGGTAAGTCAGTCCCTATCAGGCATGGGACACATGTTTTTCCGCTTTTAAAACTATCCGCTGTCACAGGTGTACTGCCCTGGATCTGTTACATTAAACTAACCGTGTTGATGGAGTCAACTACCAGGCCCTCTCCTTTGTGTTACAGAAAGATTCAACGTTACCACAGCTGCGCCTTTCCCCGAGAATCTGAAAACAGAAGGCAAGCTGAGTCTGTCCTCGGAGGAGAGAGCGATAGAGAAAGCTCGCCCTCTGCTGGTGGAGAGTTGGAGCCAGGCTCACAATAACTGACCCTGTGATCCATGGGTACTATCTCATAATGTGGGTTTCTAAATTCCTCAGACCCTCGAAGCTGCCACCTCCCATCCAGCAATGCCCCCACCGGCCTCGCTCCCTCGAGGTTCTCTCGACTGACTCATGGTTCAGTCTTCCCAGAAGCATTTTGAAATGACAAATGTACTCTCAACGGCTTAGTCCTTTTGGTAATTTTTTTTCAGGATTGATTTTGGCAAAGTCTGGTCTACTCTGTCACAGAATTTAGTTGTAGAAGTCAAGTTATTTTTTATAAGCCTGGCCCTATATTACATGTGATATAAAATAGCATTTTTATCTTTTGACCTGGTTATGATCTTTTGTTTCTGGAGAGAAATTGTAAGGTGTCTTAAAAGACACCTTATGGAACTGGATGGTATATCTTAACTAATTAAAGACTTGTCCCCATGAATTGGTCTTATGCTGACTTCTGTGCAGAATGAGACATTTAACTCAAAGGCATGCCAATGCTCAAACCCCAAATTTACACATCCAAATAGTTTTATTATAGCACAAGGAAGTAGTTTGCTAGCCATTTAGAACTTGCCTTATTTACATATCCCAAGGAAGGAACCCAACATCTGGTAACCATGGATACCACAGAGAAGGAAAGGCTGTGATATAAACGGGTACAAGCCACTGCGGCTCTTCAGAGCTTTCCCCACGTTTCTCAGTGTGCTGCTGGAAGGCATCACATAGACATATAGCTCCAAACTGCTTCTCTGATGTCCCCATCTCCACACCTGTCCACTTGGGTTAGAGAGGCATCCCGTGTGTTGTGAGTGACTGTTCTCTTCCTAACACGAGCCAATCTGCCAAAGCGGCTCCCGATAAACTGTGTGCTAGTGCCACCTTGTGGTCATAAAGCAAACCGTCAGAACTCAATGCACAACTTAAATGTTTTTTTTAAAAAAAAAAACAAAAACAAAAAACATTTTGCTGCTGTTTTTTATTAACCAGATCTACTTGCACCTATGTGGAAAATTCCATAGTCTTGTTAAGCATAAAACTATGCATAATCAATTCCACTTACAATAAAATGATGGATGAAGGTATGTAGATGCTCTGGAGGCAATTGCAGCAAACTATTCTTAATCAGAAGATTAGAACTGAGGGAGGGAGTGCTCAGGAATGATCTTTTTGTTTCTCTTCAATGTTTGAGTTTTGAGACCACTTATTTTTCTAAGTTCTTTCCAATTGAAAAGTAGACGGAGAACAGTTGAATTTGCTCATTAAGTTGAACAGACATTGTGTGTTAAAGATAGGTTGATGCAAATGGGAACGTGTGAGCTGCTGGTTGAGAGGGTCTTAGTCACTGTTCTACTGCTGTGAAGGGACACCTTGGTCAAGACGACTCTTATGAAAAAGTATTTAAGTGGGGGTTTAGTCCATTTTCCTCATGGTGGGGAGTGTGGTAGCATTCAAGGAGGCACAGTACTAGAGAGGTAGCTGAGAGCTTTACCTCCTGATCCCCAGGCAGCAGGAAGAGAAGAAGAAACGGCAGGGCCTGGTGTGGGCTTTTGTAGGCTCAAAGCCCACTCCCAGTGACACATCTCCTCCAACAGGGCTGCACCTCCTAATCTTTTCCAAATAGCTCATCGCCTGGGGTCTAAGCATGTAAACGTATGATTGAAGTCACAACAGAAGAGACGCTGCAAGTGTTTGTACATCACTAAGAAAGTGGCCAGGGGCTCGGTGGGTAGGAGGGGCACTTGCTGCTCTTTCCAAGGACCAGAGGTAGCTTCCAATTGTTGAGGCTGGATCTCACAACCAACTATAACTTCAGTTTCTGGGGATCCCATCCCCTCTTCTGGCCTCCTCAGGAACCCACACACATGGATATATATACATTTACCCATACACATAAATAAATAATAATTCATAAAAGCAAAACAAGATGGCGAAACGGCAGGCATGGTAGAGTCCATCTGTAATCACACAGCACCTACAATAAGATGGGAGTCTGAGGCAGGAGAGTTCCCAGAAACCCACAGGCCAATGAATCTGGTATACACAGCTGTGAAAAACAAAGGTTTCCTGCCTCAAACAAGGTAAGGAGATAGGGCCAATACTTGAGGTTGCCTTTTGACCTCTGTACATGGAGGATGGCACCTGCAGTCACATCATATCCACATGATATACAAATAAACCTCCTCTCTCTCTCTCTCTCTCTCTCTCTCTCTCTCTCTCTCTCTCTCTCTCTCTCTCTGTGTGTGTGTGTGTGGGGGGGTGCTTGTGAGTGTGTACACATAAAAAATGGCAAAAAGAGAGCTTTGACATACAAAGAATGTCTAATAACATCCCTAAAAAAATTGTAAAACAAGACAAAGAATTCCCTTGATCATATGACTTATGCACAATTCCAAAAGCCTCATTTTTCCTACATCCATCATCCCCAATCATCTTTCCTGACAGGAGGAGAACAATTTTCCAAAGCACAACTATGATTGAGACACTCTGACGATAAAAATCTTTCCACTGTACACTGCCCTCCAGCCAGACTCAAGAGAACAAAACAAAACATCAAAACAACCCACTTGGCTCTCTTTCAAGGCCTCTTGAAGGTCTGGCCTCCTGCTTTACTGCTCAGCAGTTCTCAGTCTGAGTCCTTCGTTCCTAGCCGGTTAGGTGCTCTCTTTCCCCATTGTAACCGTGCTCACCTCGCCGACGGAAGCAAAGTTCTGCCTATTCCACAAGGCTAAGGCAGACATCCTCTCTTCAGTGACACTTTCCTGATTAGGAGCTGAGAGAGAGCCCCTCTGCCCTGTTCACACTTGACCCCCCGAGAGCAGGGTCTATAATCATGCCCACCTTCCTCTGGAGGGTGAGAGGTATCTCGGGCATCTCTGTGGAGCATTGCACAAGGTTGTCATCCGCCAAGAATGCAGTAAAGAAGTAAGTTGTCCTCACGTAATGAAAAATTGGGAGGTGTTTCTATATCCTGAAAGCACAGCTTTGGAGATAAACTGTTTTGGATTTGAAAATACCATGAATAAGCAGCTATGTGTCTACGCAGTGTGGACAAATGAACTACTAAAATCATATTCAGTAGAAACCATGAATTGTCCAACCATATTCTCTTTTCTTCACAACTTCCTACCCCAATTGTTAGCACACAGAAGCCAGCTAGCTACACTTGCCCATTCATCAGTCCTGGCTGCAGCTTGGCCATTAGGTTTTCTCTAGCAGAGCATGAAGATTACAACGTGTAACTTCCTGAAAAAGAAATGGGTTTCTTTCCTGCATTCTGTGTTCCTTCCAGAGGTGGGCCAGATAGACAAGATGGTTTGGACTTCACAGATGAGAGCAAGACCTGAACCAAAGACCCGAGAAGGAAACAGGAAGAACATGTGACCTCAGGCCCTGCAAACAGAGGCACCCACAAGTCATGTCCTCCTACCTGTAGGGGACCAGCCCCCACCACTATTTACCCCAGGAACCCTTGAGGAATGGGGGATAAGAGAGTAAGAAACAGTGAGGAGAGAGAACAGACAGAAAATACAGGATAGACTCAGGTGGACCTGGATCCTCATCCAACGGGCCCAGAGCTTTAGTCCAAAGGTCTATTTATAACAATGCCAGGGGGTGGAGCAAAAGACGTCCCCCTTGCTAGTTAGACCCTTACAAACACCTGGTACCCAGGCCTGTGGGCCAATCAACCTCCCATGCAGTCCTGCTGGGTACAGGCACTAGGACACCTAGTGGGCTCCAACACGCACCATCCCCTGGACATTTATGGGATAGGGAAAAACACCTGAATTCTTCTTGAGTCACACACACTTTTTTTCCCTCATCATTCTGTTACTACAGCTATATACCATGAAAAATGTACCAAAGGACAGTAATAAAATTCAAACATTTGTTCTGAACAAGGATACTGAAGGTAGCCTTCCTCTGGAACTATTCTCAATAATTATTTTGATTTATTTCATTGAATTCCAATAGAGCATAATAGCCAGTGTTTATAATGATAGCCGTTAGTTATCCAAGAAAAGGTTAATGCCCCAAGTAACCTTTTTGTAAGAAGGGAAGGAGCTGTTTGATACGCTTTAGAGAATTTATTTTAAAAATCATTCAGATTTGAAAGGACACTGTATTTAACAGAGAAGTATTAAAATCTCTCTAGAAAACTTAGCTAATCATAATGATGGAATTTTCTTTGGATATTTCTTTTCTAAGACTTATTTTTATTTTTAAAATTACGTATACGTGTTTGTGGAGGCTGGGGGAAGGAGTCTGTGTGTGTGAGTGCATGTGCCCACAGAGTCTAGAAGAGGGTCTTGGATCCTCTGGAGCCAGAGTTAAAGACGCTCTCCAACCTGGTGCTGGGAATAAAACTCAGGTCCTTTGGCAGAATGGCATGTCCTCTTGAAGGCTGAGCCATCTCTCCAGCTCCCTTTTCCTTGGGGAAGAAGATGCTTTCTAACATCTTTTTTTTTACAGGAAGATTACTAAATGGTCTCCATAATACTAGTAATAATACATGTGGCTAATTCCAAAGTCTGCTAAGGGGAGCACATGTTTATCAGAGAGACGCTTGACAGAGAGCAGGGCAGCAAGCGGGGCTGCAGGGATCTGAAGACCACATGTAAGGTGTTCATGTCCAAAACATTGGGAGTCTCCATTCTGAGGTTTTTGATAGAGTAGCTGCAAAGAGATCCTCTAGTTTGCAACAACTACAAAACTAGAAAAGCAAAAAGCAACAGTTTGAATACATTGGGCAAGAGACAGCGCAGGCCAGTCATCTACAGAAGCAGAAAAACAAGTGGGGAAACTTGCCTCACCAAAGAGGGTGTGTCAAGAAGAGCACCAGAGTCATGCTCAGCTTCGTTGAGACCTAAACCCAGGCGTGGCACTGGGTAGAAAATTGAAGGACAGTGCTCACTGAGAGGAAACTGTCTAGACAGAGCTCTCCACGCAATGTTAAGGTGCTACCCTGTGCGAAGTCAATCGCTGCAAGGCCAAACCTGGGAAAACTTGAGAGCAGTAATACCTGAGCAGTTCCCAGAATTCACACAGGGCAAAATGCAGCCAGAGTACAGGATTCCTGAAGAGGGCATGCTTTGTCGAGAAGCTAGCCTAACACCAAAGGAAAGCAGACTCCAGAGTCACTAACACACCACCTGGTTGCCTCCAAGAGAAAGTCCAACTGTTCTTAGAAGAACAAAGCAGAAAATCTCCAATGTCCAACACTGAAGACAAGGCAGCACCATTCATTACCAGAGAATAAAATAGTCAATACAAACACATCTAGAGAGACAGCAATGAAGACAGGGACCTTTAATAAAAGGCTTTTTAAAAATATGCTAAGAGGATGAAAAGACATGTTATGATTAGAGAACAATACGAAGAAGGAACCACTGTAAGGTCTAGCGAGTGTTTTCAATGGGAAGTGCCATGGCTGGGATTCTC